AAAAAAAAACCCAACGATGTTTTGTTTCTCCCCAAATGATTTTTATTTTCCCCAAAGAAAATTAAGCATTGTAATGCGCTGGGGGAAAGCCACAGCCTTCCCCCTGGAAGCAATTCCTCAGGCTGGGAGGATTACGGTTATTATTTTGCTACTAAGCCCCTGCGTGCCCTGCGCTGCATAAAACCCCAAAAGCACCCCATTTTGCAAAGGGGGTTGAGCCCAGGGAGGGACAGGGCACCTAGGGTGCCGGTGGCCACTTCCAGCCCCTCGGGCTGGCGCTTTGCAGGATCCGTGCATGTGGTGCAGGTCAAGCAAGCACCATCATCCTCCTCCTCTTCCTCCTCTCGCTCCCTCCTTCCCAAGCCCTCCCAGCTCCTGAGCGTGGCAGCAGCTCACCCCCTTTTTGCAGGCAGGGGGAAAGGAGGCAGCAAGCAAGGCAGGGCGGCGGGCAGGGACAGGTCTGCTGTGCTGCACGGCCACGCTTGCAAAGCTCCTGCTCGCTAATTGGGCTCAATTAGGTGGCTCTGCTCCGTGCCACAGCCCCGCTGCCGCCCGGAAAGGTTAAATTAATTGCTCAAGGTCAGGCGAGACCAGTGAGGAGCTGCCGGTGCCCACATCTCCTCTCCAGCCACCCCCCCTGCAGCAGGAGAGGCACGGCCCTGCTGCTGGGCTAAAAATAAAGACCTTTCCTGATGTGGAGAGTGACAATTTGCTAATTAGTTTTATATGCAGCCTTAATAAAATGAAAATGTAATTGGAGTAAATCTGAATTTCAAGAAAACAAAGATTTGATTTTCTGACCTGTTTGTTAAGGGGAGATTCGTTCCCAGCCCCGTTTCTTGATGTCTCTCCCTTAAACAAGCTCCGCATAATTAAACCGTGGAATCCCTAATAAAAAATTGTCCCTTTTTTAAGTCACACCCCGGCTGGAGCAATCAGCCCGGATGGCTTCAGGCTTGCTTGTCTGCAAGGCGCAGACAAGACCATCGAGGTCCAGCGTCCACGGGAAATCAAAGGGAAACCCGTCTCGGCCCCGCATGCAGCCCCCCGGCGATGCCGTAGCCCCCCCTGGCTCACCGTTGACCGTGAGGTGGACCCAGCTGCCGTTGTGGAAGGTGTCGTACTGCTGGTCCAGCATGAGCACTTTGCACTCGTACCAGCCCTGGTCCTCGGAGCGGACCTGCTCAATGCGCAGGGAGGCTTTGTCGTGCAGGCGGGCCGGGCCTGCGGGGAGAGCAGAGCCATCAGTTCGGTAGCCACCGGCCCCACGCGGTGGCCCCCCAGCACCATTGCTGCAGGCACTGAGCTTTAGGGCCAGGAAGAGCCCCACCAACCCCAGTTTTGGGGCCGGTTGAGCCTCCCGGCATGGTGCTGCCGGTTGCAGACGGCCGGCAAGGCGCTCGCCCATCTGGGGAGGGCAGGGCAAGATGCTGCGGCCAGGCAAGGTGCCTCGAGCGGCGTCTGCCCGCAGTGACACCGGCACTCTGCTCCCAGCCGGCAAACAGGCGCACCCCAAAGCCCTTCCCCAGTCTGGGAGCCTCCCAAAAAGCTGAGCCTGTGTCCAGCCCGAGAAACCAGACTGGCAGCAAAGCAGCCCGAACCTCCACCCCGGCACAGCGGCCACTGGGCTCCGGCATTGCTCAAGCATGAGCAGAGTTTGGCAGGGCTCAGCCCAGGCTCAGGTGCTGGCATCCTCCCTGCCGCACCATTTCCCAGAGGAGCAATTTGGGCAGAGCCTGGAAGCAGGGTAAGTGGTCTCCAGGGAAGGGCATATTAAAATGGGTCCACCCCACCACACCAACTCCCTTGGGGCTTGGTCCCCAGCTCACAGACCATCCCCCCACCCCTCCCGCCCCCCCCAGGCC